GTAAAATCATAAATATAGTGCAAACATTATATTGAAACCAAAGTGCCATAGTTCGAATTGATGGGCAACACTCAGAAGAAATGAAAATCTGTAAAGGGGTAGACAGGGATGTGTTTTTATCGCCAGTTTTTGTTTAACTTATATTCTGAAGAAATTTTCCAAAACACGCTCAATAATATCAAAGCAGGAGTTACCGTTAACGGAAAATTTTTTGGTATTTACATATTAATTTGAAAGTTCTTCCATTGACTGTGGATTCAACTGAACTACTTGGATTACAACCCATTTATATATTTTGCTTTTAATTTTAGCAATTCAATTGAATATTCAGATTTTCTTTTTCTTTTTACAGTACTGATAGCGCTTAGTAGACCATTTTATTGTTAGTCAACTATCCACTGTCTAATATATTGTTTAGTCTATTTCTTACATTCATACTTTATGTCAACTTCAATTTCTCTCAAACTAACATCCTAATTATTATAAACAGGTTTGAGTGTGAGATCTGGATTATTCAATCTACATAACAATATTAGATATAATTGTATATTTCTTCAGTTGATTTCCTATAGTGGTGTCAGTTGGACCTTTGGTCAATACCTAGTTTCATAGAATCTTGAAAGGCGCAGATCACTTATCTATTGTAACTGTCCTTCACAAGCTGTCATTTGTCACATGTCACCCAATATTTCCGCCTCCGCCACGCTGGGAGCCATTCTGTCTCCGGCTTCTATAATATAAAAATGTAGCTTCTCCAATTTAAATTTAAAAGTGTTTGTTTGTCTTTAGTGTATTTGTTATGTCCCAGTTTACATGTATGACATTCGGTTATTGCTGGATAGGCCACAATTGACGAAGTAAGTCTATAAACGTTAATCACATAAAAAAACTTTTTTCAACTATAAACTTGGAGTTTTTTATCCAAGTGAATTAAAATTTCTTTTTTAAAAAACGTTTCTTGGCTTATTTCAGATGCCCCTGAGGATGATCTTGTGATCGAAAGTACTTGGGCAAGATTTTAATTAAATACTGTGTTCGATATTTGCCTTGTGTACCATCAAAGGAAAATTAATTAACAACTTACGATATGCAGACGACGCTGTGATCATAGCAACGAGTATAGAAGATCTACAATATCTTATCGAAAGCTTAAGTATGAATAGTGCTGAAATGGGAATTACTAAGTACATAAAAACGAAGCACATGCTAAAAACAAAAAGACCACAAAATATACATCACCTATTGACAATCAATGGTAACAGTGTTAGAACAAGTAGAAAAATATCAGTACTTGGGAACTTTGATCAAAAACACCAATGATCATACACTGCAGAAATAAACAGGCGAATAGAGATATGCCAGATGAGCATTATACGAATGAAGCCACTCCCTAACGTGCAAAAATCTAAATTTTGGAGATCAGACTACGTACCATTCGCTGTTATATATTTTCAATATTATTATATGGAGCTGAGACTTGGACATTAAAAAAATGCAATTTAAAAAGAATCGAGGACTTCGAATTCTGGTTATACCGCAGAGTATTTAGCCCGGACTGATAGAATTACAAATAAAGAAGTACACAAGGATCTACAGACCGAGAATTTGGCATCCAAATTCCACTGATTCGCGCAATCGTACTTGTAAGTTGTATAGTCGGCTGGAGTTACAATTTGCCAAATTTAAATGTAATCGTTTCTACTCATATCATATTAATATTATAATGTATAATATATTAAAGTTTTTAATATTGGTAATATTATTAAAGCTTTTAATACTAATTTTTAATATTAAGAATAATATTAAGTAATTAAATATTGCGTCTTACTTAAAAAAAGTACGAGATAAACTCGTTTTTTATATCTTTACGTATGCTAAAGGGTAATAAATTAAAATCCTTCAATACAAGACTAAAGGTAGGTACCTATAATTTGAATAAGCTGGTTTTGCCCATACTGACTTTCTAATTCTAAATTACCTACAATTTGCATAACAGTCAGAATATTGTACCTGGTCATAATGCTGTTTTAATATTAGGATTTTCAATTCGCTTGTTGAAACTTCATCCGATATTAAATTCTTGGAAATATTTTTATAAGGCTGAGAGTACTTAATCGGAATACTCGAGTATTGTTGACAAAAAACTGAAATTGAAGGTACTACACAATCGAAGAACTCAAAAAAATTAAACATTTCCGGTATTCTTTTTCCAGATCGTATTTGTTTTTCGAGATATATTTAAATTTGGGAATTTTTTTATTATTTTATACTCCACTTTTTTCAGGTTCTTTTTTAATTTAATTTCAGTTATATAAAAGCCTTTACAATAATATCCAAATTTTTATTTGGAAGTTAATCTTAACTGTTCAGATAACAATTTGCTATTTAGGAAATGAAAGTTTGTTTTTTTCCTTAGTTCTTAATTTGCTATCACATTTCTCATTTGATTTAAATAAAAAATATTGTAAATTCATTTTTTTGAATAATTATAACGACTTGACATCCGAGTAGCTTAACACAATTAAAGAAAATATAACGAATACGCTCACGACTCGGAACTGAGTCTTTTCTTCTTTTCACATAAAATATTACAAATTTATTTAAAATACCCTTTATTTAATATATACTTATTTATTCACACAATTAAAAAAAAATACTAGTCAGCACAGCGGTTTGATTTCCATGAAAATACGCTAAGCAGTGATAATGATTGCATGTACCTAAGTTAATATTTTGGTCTTTTGGTTGGTGTTATATTGGAAATTTCCCCTACTCAAGGCATTTGCAAGAAAAATTGCACTTTTCATGTAAAAAACGAGTTATTTATCTCGTACTTTTTTTAAGCAAGGCGCAATATTTAATTACTTAATATTAATATTAATATTAAAAAATAGTATTAAAAGCTTTAATAATATTACCAATATTAAAAAACTTTAATATATTATACATTATAATATTAATATGAAATGAGTAGAAACGATTACATTTAAATTTGGCAAATTGTAAACTCCAGCCGACTATACGAACTTACAAGTACGATTGCGCGAATCAGTGGAATTTGGATGCCAAAATCTCGGTCTGTAGATCCTTGTAAGACAGTACTGGAGAGGGTTGGCAAAGAAACAGAACTAATCACCACTAAACAAACCAGAAAACTGGTGAATACCAAGGCCACGCGTTGAGGGGACCAAAATATGAAATTTTGAGACTCGTAATACAGGGAAAGATTCAAGAAAGATCTGTTGGTCCGAAGGCAGAACTCATGATTGAAGAATCTACGTGATTGGTATCAATACAGATCGATTGATTTGTTTAGAGCAGCAAGTTCAAAAATAAAAATAGCCATTATGATTGCCAACCTCCGTAAGGAGACGGCACTCTAAGAAGAAGAATAAAGAAATTAATTCAGATTATAGTAGATAATTATAAAACTAATAGTTGTTGGTAGGGTCAACTAATTATTGGTAGGATCAACTAAGTAACGACAGAACAATTAAATTATTCTGATCAAATCACTACTTGAAATCAATTAGATGTTTGTAAAATAAACAAATTAATTATTTTTTAAATAAAAACTATCATAACAGATGGAAAATCGTTTGTATGTCGTTATAAAACTAATTAGTTGTTTGTAGGGTCGATTAATTAATGACCAAACAATTCAATTATTCTGAGCGTGGCACCATTGGACGGCAGAATTCATTTATCAGATAGATAATCGATTGTAGAGTGTTTTAAGACCAATTAGATTGTTATCTTTAACATTAATCTCTTATTCTCTAAATTTAAATATCTAATTTTAGTTTCCATGTTGCCAATACGAGTGGCAATTAAAAATTAATGTATTTAATTGGAACAAATAAAATAAACAATATTTGCAATACCATTTAATAAAATATTTTTCTCCATTCACACAAGTGGGCAATATAGAAGATTAAAACAAATTTCATTGTAAGAGAAACTATTCTAATTATGTTGTTTCCTGCATAAATTTTTAGGCAACTCAAAAAGTAAAGAAAAAAATATCGAAATAGTAACAATTTAAATATTTTCTTCTACAAAAATATGATTATGAAAAATAAATTATATAAGTAAATAAAAATAAGTAAATATTACGTTTTATGCAAGAAACAATGTTTAAAATTAATTATTAGAGTATAAATGCTTAAAATAACATTATTTGAACTTATTGTTTATAAAATGTGCAAATCTTTTGTACTTCTTTAAGACAACACACTACATTTGCAAGTGAATAAAAGGAAAATCGTGAACACACTTGTGGAAAATATATTTACATGAGTAAAAACACTTTTGTCGAGACTATTATTGGTTACCTTAAACAAACTCACAATATAGGCAGAATATAAGTTTGAAATAATTTTTTTTAAATATTATTTCAAAAGTTTTTCTTTGCCAAATTTAGTGAGCTCACAAAAGGCAGTACTTTAATTTTATAGAAGCTGCACTCTCTAATAGAATTAACGAAAATAAACAAGCAGTGACTGCATTTCGTATAATAAAGTAATTGTTTCGTCTCAAGTTTAACAGCTAAAATAATGATTTTATTTAGAACAAATTAAAAAACCTTATGTCTGTAAAATATTACTTGAGTGTTCTTGTCTATTTTTTACAGAAGAAATGATACCGAAGATCGTTTCCTTGAGAGTATAACATAATTTTTTAAAACTTTCTGCATACAACATATTGTATTTTAGTAACATCGTACAATCTGAGAAGTACTTACCTAAAAATTTGCAAATCTTATTTTAGTTTAAAAAACTTGAATTTATATGAACATTTTTAACCTGTCCTAAATATTTCTATCCAATTTTACAATAAATTCTTTTTAAGATTGTTTGAACAGCAAAGTCGCTTATTATTTATAGAATAAAAACAAATAATATATCAAATGAGTGAAATAAAACATAAGATTAAAATCATATAAAAAATTTATATTTATATTATATATAGCTACAAATCAATTTAAAATTGTTTAAATTGAGTTTAAAATTGAAAAAAAAAAATGAACGAACATATGAGTAGTCCACTTGCAAACCACGCTCATGTCATTATTATTATACTCCATCAAAACTGGTTATATTCTAAATAAGACGAGGTAGAAAACATAATACTCTTGCAAAAGCTTATTTAGAAATCCACTTTAAAAATTGCTATGTCACTATTAACTTGCACTCTATGACATGTTGTCACCTTAGCAAACGTAGGTATCTTTCAGTATCAGTATCTTGGGAAAATAATATAATATATTGTCAAGAAAAAGAAATAACTTTGGCACCAGACAGGAAAGGGCGTAAAAGGATTATAGATAAAAAATCGTAAAATAGTTTCGATTATAGATAAGTCTACATGGAAAAGAGAATGTGAAAAATCGAAACGGTGAGCATTACTACTATATAGATTTTTATGTTATTTGTTCATTTTAACAACTTAAACACATGTAAAATATACCGTTTTTTACAGGCATATGCCCAAGGAGCCACCAGTAATGCCACAATGTGCACACGGAAATTTAAAGCAAGGGTATGAGTCTACGGAACTGTCTCTTCAACACTACAGTCAATTTCATCGATATTTTTATTCGTGCGGAGATAAAAATTGCTCAAATGCCAGAACAAAAATACGATAGTTGTGGGAATGTTGGCCTATTAGCTTAAAACAGAAGCACCACGACACATTAAAAAAGTTACAGTGCCATACTCCTGTTGTTGGACATTCTTTTTTACCCCTGACCGAGTTTTTGGAAATATAGAAAGAGAAATACGATCTATTGAAGCAATTGTCGAACCCGACACATACTTAGATATTTTTAAGAAGTATGGTACGATTTTAAGGCTCAGTGCCGATTTTAATTTCTATGATTGGAAAACTAACTTTAAAGATGTAGTGAAGTACCTGGTTCATGGCATTTTCAATTCAAGGCCTTTAAGAGATTCTTTTTAAGAAAGGATAAAAATATCTATGCATCTGAGCTGTTGAGTTACAGAAATGTTTGTAAAAGGGGCAAATCCTTCGAAAATATGGAACCTACCATGATGGATGTTGGGAGTTCCTGTGAAGCCAGCAAATTACAAGACGTAAAAGGCATTCTAATTAAGCATTTTGGTGCAGATTGGATTACTTTTGATAGCCTCACATATTACCGTTTTTTTTTCAAGGGGACCAAAGTGACAGTGCTCCTGAAGAAACTGACAATGAAGATACTGTAATGTAAGATGACGTAGATTTAAGAGTTTAATGTTAAGATTAAAATCATTTCATATTCTCTTTGTGTACAATAGCACATGACATGTTTATTAGATTTATTAGCAATTAATTGGTTCATAACTGTCTAAGTTGATTAAAGGCTCCTGCAAAACTACTAAGTTAAAATTACTCATGCAAAACTGTCTATGTTCAATTTTGAAATTTAAATAAAAAAACTATTATTGACACGTGTTTTTTTTATCTGACTCGTACCGATTCTATATTAATCTCTTCAAAATTAGCACAAAGCCAAATATTTATTTTCTATTTGAATTCAGAGTTAAATCTATTTTTTAGTATACTCAAATTAATTGTTCATACACATAGTGGTGTTTGCAAGTGAACTACTCATGAAAGTTGCCAACAACATCGCACTGATTTTTAATATTACAAAAAAACGAACCTTCTCACATTACTTCTTTTTCTAATGAACATTTGATGCCGGTAAAGTTTCAAATTTGAAAAGATCATCGAATAGTGACAGGTTTTACAAAAATTTGTTAATTAAACGCGAAAGTGTGGAATCGATAGAGCTTTGTGACACTGGTCACAAGTATTCCCGTACATAAATGTAGATATCTTTAATATTAAGTTTTCGGATACAACATCCTAGAAGATAAACTTTAACACCGCGATAGAAGGAATTAAATATAAGCTGATAGAAAAGAAAAATTAAAAACGAAGATCGTGCACTATAGTGAACATCTTCAACAGCATGTTACATTTTTTATACTTACAAATACACATTTATTATAGGTAAGAAACGTAAAAAGCTTTAGAAAAAGAACCGAGTAAAATTATAATAATTACTATGATACCCACTTAAAAGAAAAGGTTAATGTACGGGTTAAGTACCTCATACGATGAAATATACAGAATAAACTTTCAGAAAAATGACATGGATATCAAAGCATGGTAGACGTAGCGTAAAAGAAGCTCTTCTGTTGGTACAAAATCACTAAGTAATATCAAACAGGATAACTTAGATGATAAGGTCTTTTGTATCACCATTATTAAAAAAAAATAGCTCAGTTCTTTTCCAAAGCAAAAAACACTTAATGTATAAATTCTGATTTTTTTGGTACTTCAAGCTTAGCTGAAATAACAAGAAGATTATATCATCTATTGTAACTATCAGAACTTGTTAAAATGGTTTAAACAGCAATATTATTGTAGTGTTTTAGAAGTATATTAAAGAGTTTTAGCTAAGGATACAACAGTACCAACCTCTATATAAAAAAAGTCCAAATTTATACCATTTAGTGTTTTAAAAAAGACACTTAACACTCTTCTCTAACGTTACTGTCGTTTATAAGGGTAAACGTTTTACTACAAGGCTTCAGGTGTGTATTACTTTTGTCGTGGAAGTCGAAACACAATTTTTTGTAAAAAAGGGTCGTTTGGGAGTAGAAAAATACATCAATTTTGTAGGTCTAGTTCTAAACATTTTCTACATGTCTTCAAATATTTTTCTACAATTAAGGAGTTAAATTTCTTTCAAAAATGGAATATGCCACCAACAAAAACCAACTGGAAATGTTAATATCAGATGTCTACTAAGCTTGTGCTGTTGCGGGAAGATGAATGGCGCTGCTGAAACTCCAAGGCTATTGAATATTAGGTAGAAAAGTATGGTTTTTGTTTTAAAAAGTAATGTGCGATATTAGACCAGTTTTATTAGTCAAAAACTCAGTATCAAAAACGAAATTCTTTTATATATGTGACCTCCAGTTACTTTTCATTGATGACAGATCCACAAAAATAACATTTTATAATACATGAACACTATTATATCGCAGCATTCAACATATTGTTAATTCTTGCCTTAGTCTCTTGCATTTTACAGTTCCCATAGATTTTAAAACAAACTGGAATATATTTTTCGCAAAATTATTTAAAAAAACCAGTAAATTATACTCTACATTGTTGCCAAGTTTAAATTTCTTTATTTATGGGGAATTATTTAAAACTATTTAATATAATTCAGTTTATTTTATTTTCTACGTCCAATAAATTCGTATCATTTACATGTTGAAGTTCCCAAAGTTGTGGTTCATATGCTTTACTTAAGTCTAAGTATTAATTTTAAAACCTGAGATATTCAAAATGCAAGTATCTAAATCAACAATAAATTTTCCTATAAGTATCAAATCAAAAACGTTCCAAAGATCTAAACCGTCGTCCAAACACATAAGCTGTAAGCCAAGCTTAACGATTTTTGTCAAATTTTACTAGATTTGAAAAAAAGTAAAGGTGAACGGAGTGGTGGAGGAAAAATATCCTCAAGGTCACCACTATACGCAAACTATTATATATTTATTTAGACTTAAAAATATAGGTGATGTGATAACTAATGGTATATATGTTTTGCAAACAAAACTACGTGACTAATCTACAATTTGCAAAAGTAAACGTTCTGTACTGGATAAGATATAAAGTAATTGTAAAATATTTTTAGATTTATCGATTGGTAAACAATATTTTGAAATAAAAAAAATAGCATGTGCGAAAATACTTATTTCGTAATTGTAAACAAAGATTATAACACACATGGAAGCTTCTTGGCTTGTACAAACTTTTAAACTTTCACTTACAAAATCTAAGTTAAAAAATATGAATTAAATCATCCTCCAACTTAAAAACTATAGCAATCATACCATTAGACATCAAACAATATCAAAGAGGTATAGAACCCGTAGCAAAGATGGCACCGTAACTGTTTTTTGCCAGCTACGGCAATAATAATAAAATTTGACAAAAGGCGGTACGTTCATTTTTAGAATTATTTGACAGCTGTGGGCTTGGGGGTGTAAGAAGCGCCAGGAATTTTAGATAAGGTCTTGGAGAGATCGACTCCCGTTAAGGCATGGAGTGCTGGGGGTATCTGTCCGACCAAGCGGGTGATGTCAGCCGTGGTATTGTCTGGACCTCCGATCAAGACGATTTCTTCGGTCTTCGCAAGAGGAGAGGCCACTTCGGCAGCAATCTGAAACAGTAATACAACGTTAAATATCACGAGTGCTATAATTTATTTACAACAGATTTGCAGAGAAAAACAATACAATGTGTCATGAACTACACTTGAGTGCAAATAATCGAATTATTTTGCGAAAGTACGTCTCCTGTTTCAATCTAAAAAGTGTAAATTCAAAAATATTTAGTGAACAATCATTAACCTCATTATTGAATTTTAAAAAAGTTTTGTTTTTTGGTGAATCGGATGATGTATTACAAAGAAATACTTAATGCACCATGCAACACGTAGAGAGGGTCAGAATTTGACTCATTGAAATTGACACGCACTTAACTTCGTACGCATCACGACTTAACGCATTCGGTTAACATCGTACGCATCAATTTCCATTCTTCTTCTTTAAGTGCCTCTCCTATCGGAGATTGGATATCATTATGGCGATTCTAATTTTATTAACTGCTGTTTTGAATAATTCGTTAGTGGTACAGCCAAACCACTCTCTTAAATTTCTCATCCAGGACATTTTTCTACGGTCTGGATTTCTGCGTCCTTGGATTTTTCCTTGCATTATATTTTGTAGGAATGTGTACTTTTTTCCTCTCATCAGGTGGCATAAGTATTCAAGTTTTCTCTTTTTTATATTCATAATAATTTCTGGATCGTTATTTATTCTGCGTATTACCTCTTCATTTGTAATTTTATCCACCCAACTTATTTTTAGTATACGGCGGTAGCACCACATCTCAAAGCTTCCAAGATTTTTAATATTCCTCTCTTTAAGAGTCCATTCCTCAACACCGTAAAGCAAAGTACTGAATACATAGCATTTTAACATTCTAGTTCGTAGATGAATACTAATATTCACGATTACAAAATAATTTTTTCATTTTTATAAAGGTAGACCTAGCAATTTCAATACGTCTTTTTATCTCGTGATTTTGGTTACCTGTTTCATTGATGAGGGTTCCCAAGTATTTGTATTCGATTACTTTTTCAAGTTGGTACCGTTTATTGCGATATTAGTGTCATGTATTGGATTCTTACTGAAGGTCATATATTTGGTTTTTTTGACGTTCATCCTTATGCAGTAGTTATTACATATCTCATTCATACTTTCAACTAGATATTGTAGATCTTCCGCTGTTTTTGCCATTATCACAGTATCGTCAGCATATCGAATGTTATTGATAACTTCTCCATTGACTATTATCCCTTCGTTTGCATGTGAGAGAGCTTCTTGGCATATTTGTTCGCTGTAGATATTAAACAAAAGCGATGACAATATACAACCTGTCGTACCCCTCTACGTATTTCTATTTCGTCCGATGTTTGGTCTTCTATTTTTATATTAGCTCGCTGATTCCAGTACAGATTTAATAATATTTGTATGTCTCTGGTGTCGATGTTCTTACCTTTCAGGATTTCTTTGAGTTGATTGTGGCGTACTTTGTCAAAGGCCTTTTCAAAGTCTATAAAGCAGGCATGCACCTCTTGGTTAACATCTAGACATCTCTGTGTTAGGACATTTAAGGCAAAGAGAGCTTCTCTTGTACCTAATCCTTTTCTGAATCCCATCTGTGTATCGTTAATATCGATATCTAACTTTTGATAGATTCGGTTGTGGATGACTCTAAGAAATATTTTAAGCACTCATCAAGAAGATTGTTCGATGATCTGAACATGTCATTGCCTTAGTTTTCTTCGGTATGGGGACAAACGTAGACAGCAACCATTCTTGAGGTATTATACCGGTACTGTATATTGTATTGAATAGATGTAATATTATGGTTACGGATTTATCATTCAAAAGCTTGTAACAGTTCTGTAGGAATTTCATCAGGTCCATTTGCTTTTCCATTTTTATCCATCAATTTCCATAGCAACTCACTAATACATCAGTCAGTTAAGTTCGCAACTGCATTACAAATTGATACCCCATATCCAAACAAGTAGTTCAAGTAGTAGTATTATCGAGAGAAGAGCCTGAGCCAGAGGGTCGTGGCAAATCGACTAAATTTAAGCCAATCTGCTGTGTCACGAGTGTATCGTCGAGACCAAGATACTGGTGATTATGTTCGCCGACACGGATGAGGGATAAACTAATAACAACGGAGATGATAGATTTCTTGTATCGAAATCTCTGAGAAATCGACATTTGAGTGGTGCTAATCGCAACGAAAAGCTTAGAGGTCCGAGGCTGTGGTTATCAGAATTTGGACAGTCAGAAGGAGACTGAAGGTAGCCAACTTGACACCAAAAAGGCAGCTACGGGTCCCAAGCTAACTGCAGCCCGAAGCAAAGGCGATTAGAATTTGCTCGCGATCGTGATGGATTGGGAGGACTATCAATAGAGTCAGGTATTATTGTCCGACGAAAGTAGGATCTGCTTACATGGCAACGACAAGAGGCGTTGAGTCTGTAGAAGGCCAGGAAAGTGATGTGCTCAATGTTGTATACGAGAAATTGTGTTATATGGAGGCGGTTATATGTTTTGGGCAGGCATTTCCATGAATGGGAAAACCGAGTTGGTTTACGTGCCTGGTGGAGGACCTGTCTGGTGGTAGTACCGCACGAGTCACCACCACCTATGTGACTGAGATCGGTATACCTACAATAAATTAGCCTGCGTTGAGCCCGGACATAAATCCTGAGAGCATGTTTGGGATGAGCTTAAACGAAGGGTTCGGGACAGAAATCATGCACCAAGAAGCATAATGGACTTGGGAGCTGCGCTTAATGATATATGGGAAGCAATGCTTAAAGAATTTATTAGAAAAGTCCTCCGATCCATGCGAAATCGATTGGAAAGTGTGATTAGGAGTAGGGGTAATTCATTTTGTAACTGATGATTTCTTTGTTCATGACGTCTTTCTTGCGTTAGTTCCAATGATGAATATTTAGGAAACTTTGTTTGTATTGCATATTGTTTTATAATGCGTTTTACAAATAATCAAATAGCAGTTTTTTGATAATAGTAAAGTTATTGTTTGTTCATTACATTCTTTTTATTTTCATACTTCTTACATTGAAACAGAAGGTGTAATCTCAAATATCACTTTTGAGTCGACTGTTTTGCACTCAAGTGCAGTACTGTGACATCTTCGCAATGTTCGAATATTCGAGATTTTTTCAATAATTCTAATTCGTACCAAGCAACCACATCTAGCGCCTACTAGATGTCGGTATTACGAATCAAGAGAGAAGGAAACACCACCAACTGCAAGAATTAAGCAACATTTGATGCGAGTAGTTTTAGATTTCCGGTTTGAGGAGATCGAATGAATCCCTAGGAATCCACATCTACCTTGTCAATTTACATTTGCAGATACACAATTAGGGTTACTTGCGTAAAATTATTTTTTACATACATTATTCATTGACAATTTCTAATATTTTGTTACTGCACTATTTTCCTTTGTTTTGTGTCGCATGTTGAACATATTTACCGCTTAAAAACATTTTGCATTTACAAATTATCGTATGTATTAAGGCTATTTCATGAGCAAAAAGCAACAAGTGCCACTATTAAATGATTACCCTATTATTACAAGTTTCTAAACTTGTAATAGGGACTAATAGGGACTTGTAATACTAGAGGTAGATAAAGCAAAGGGGAAGCGTTTGTGGTTGACTGTAGTGAGTCGGATATTAGATTATGGTAGAAATATCTAATACATATTCAACATTTTATCCCGAATATCTTGCAAAGTATCATATCTACTAAAAAAAAAGTTGTAACATTAACGTTTTCGGAATTTGGTATAAACATTTTTTGAAGTTTTTCAAATCTTAAAAAAAATGGCTCACAGGAAGATCTGATAACTTTTTATTTTTTTTACAAATTAAGTTTGTAATCCAGTTCTGTCCAGAAAATTAGAAAATTTTCAAATGACTGCTTGGAAAATAATTTTGTAATATGAATAACTGATTTTTATACGTATATAAGCGTAAACAACCTTTCAAATCTGTTTGAAAGTCACTTAATTAGTAATTAAGTCAGAAATTTTTAAGCTTTAAAATTAATTTTCTTTTAATATTTATAAATAATTTAATAGTCGAAGTAACTCCTATCTTTCACCTGTTAATACATGATCCAAATGTTACATTTTCTTTCTTTGATATATGCTTATGATGGTTGTACATGTAGATGGATGTGAAAACAGCAAGTGCTACCAAAAAAATCTGATAACAATCTAGAGGCAAAGAAACTTGATGGAGAACAATGAAGTGCAATAGGAAGTTAGCAGAAAGAGGTATGAGAGGTCTAAAAGAGAGAAAGATAACGATACATACAAGGTAGTAAAGAGGGAAGCAAAGCGCGTTGTACCTACTGCTAAGGAAAGATCGTCTGCAAAGCTGTATGAAGAGTTGGAAACACCCGAGGGAATGAAAAGGTTATACAGCATTGCTAAAGCAAGGGACACGTCATTAAAAAACTTGACTGACGTACGGCAGATTGAAGCTGATTTATAGTTTGACGGACTGTAGATGTAGACGCACTGGAAAAAGATCAACATAGACTTTTGTGTACTCTTATTTATAAATGAACGTAAAAGCATGACGGAACGTAAGTAAAACGGACTGTAACGGAAGAGTTGGTCAACTTTCATCTTTTACAGTGCGTTACTTGCATCTGGCCAATCAAAAGGAAGGAATTTTCTGCTGTCAATGAAAGTGAACTATCTGGCCCGCCTACCATTTTGTAAAGTTGCTTATCATTCTTATCAACATATTCGAATTTTGATTTTGTTGATTATTTGTTACAATGGACGTTAAGAATTTACAAAATAATAATAATAAATAATAAAAGGATATTATAGTATCATGGTCATCAGTCTAGCCACTGTTTCTACCCATGCGCAAAAATTCCACTCCGTCGATTTATAAATTGAAATAATATTTACAGTCCGTTTGTTACGTCTCCAGTGCGTCTACGTCTACAGTCCGTTAAATTATAAATCCAACTTAAGAGTACGGGTGGAAGAGTGTTTAAGAACCGATGTTAAAATAAAGCAAAGACGGTATGAGTACTTTAGATAGTTAATAAATGAAGAACACTAGAGGAGAGACAGAAGATGCGGTATCCCAAATGAGAATATAATACCGGGGATAACGAGAGATGAGGTTGTCGAGGCTTTAAATAGGATGAAGAATGGCAAGGTAGTGGACCTAATGGAATACCTTTGGAGTATTATAATGATGAGTAGGATATATAAGGAAGAAATTCTAGGATACTTCAATAAAAATCTAAGGTAGTTTTCACTACAACCAAAGTCAAAAAGATCTTCCCAATTTATTTTATATTTGGGAAAAAATTATACCTTATAAAAAGGTTTTGTGGAGTATAACTAAGCATTTCAGTTTATTATGATTTACATACCTTAGGTAAGGCCTCGAGGACGAGCGACATAATGGCAGCGTCTCCGTATTGCTTGTAAACAGCGGCTTTCTGTCTCATTCTTTCGGCTTCGGCTTTACCAACGCCGGCAATGGCGGAAGCTTCAGCGGTACCCAACATCTTGACCTTCTCACTCTCAGCTTGAGCGGTCTTTACGGTTTGTGTCCTAAAAACAATAAATTATGAACTAAATATAAATATTAATGAGTTATGGACGTTTATTAATATAAAATTTATAAATAATTAAAGATAGGATCAATGCTTTATGCGGATTCTAAAAAAAATCGTTTTCTCCTTTTATGATGTTTCAGCTAGTTCCAAATGCAGTGGCGTTGCAATATTAAACAATTTGAGAAGAATATTTTATATTTGAAGAAGCAAAATATTGTACAATAAATGAAATTTGCTTTTAAAAGTTTTAACACACATAGGTAGTGATTTTTTGAATAACGACTTGTTACTCTTCGAATACAAGAAAACAAAATGACAATCACGAAGAAATCGACAAACTATAGTCGACAATTGGAGCAGTCACCAATAGCTGACTTGCAGAAAGCAAGTCATATCGTGAACTGTCACAAAGAAATGTATCATTTCTTGCAAGGAGACATACCCGAATACAAAAAATATGTTGTCGATGAAATGGCTCATGAAAAGAACACAATTCTGTTGCTCCTTCCTCCTTATCGTTGTGAGCTGAACTGAAGCTGAAAATAAAAAATCTAGTAGCCAAGGAAAACTTTTTAAAATGGATGATGTGAAAGGTCTGCTAGCTACTGTTAGGGTCTCATATAAAATCACGTTACACTTAGTAGAAAAGAAGAGAAGAGTCTGGTCACGCCAGACTCATGGAAAAATGACATTACACATACTAGAAAAGAATAATGATGATAAACTTGAATAGACAACACATTTTCTGACCACAAAGACCGACACAAATATACATTTAATAACACCCGTGGACAAAAATCTATGATATATTATGTTATAACCAACAGAGATATAAATCCATCGAAAATAATCGACGTAAGGTGCCTTTTTTTTTTTTTTTTTTTTTTTTTTTTTTTTTTTATTGCCGTATTGCCAGAATCCAGTAAGAGCCTAAGAAGGTATCCATTAGATTCTGACAGGCAACGGTGGGGGAAATCTTTTTTGGACCTCTACGTCACGGAACAAGACACCCTGGTATCTTTTGGCACAGTGGGATACTAAGCCACAAGACATCAGGGTAGTGCCGGATTAACCGTGTTCCGGCTAAAACCTTAACCACCGTTCCAGAGAGATGGTCTTGCCACTCAATAAACAACTAAAATTTATACATAACCATACCTATTACCGTAAATCAGAGAATGTTAGACCATAAATAATATTAACTATAAATTTAAGATCCCTGACTTAATTTCCTCTTCTATCCTCCTCTTCCTTTTTCTTCATCACCCCAGAAATCAGACAGTGTACTTCTCTCCATTCTTTCTCTCCTCTTAACATAATATTTACAATATTTCTTTCATCCAGCCCGAAACCCATTCGCCTCTCGAAATCTCCCATCTCATTTACCCATCTCTGGCAGTTAAAAATGTGGGCGGGAGCATCCGGTACCGCACAAACAGTACAGTCTGCCGAGGCAGATTTGCCTATTCTATTTGTGAAGGTGCCAAAACTACCATGTCCGGTCAGAAACTGCGTCAGGAAGTAGTCTAGTTTCCTGAACTTACATTCCCACCACGGTCTCAGATCGGGAATTAGCTCCTTCGTCCACCTTGCCTTTCCACTATCATTCGCCCATTCTCTCTGCCACTCTATTATCGTTCTTTCTCTTTCATTCTCATGTATATTTACATCCATCCTCCTTAACTTAATTAATCCAGGTGCCTTAACTCAGCAGATGTAGGTAGCGACCATAGCCTAGTATTATGTAAAACAAGAATCATCCGGAAATACTTCCCACCCAAGAGAGCGGCGCCAACACAAACAAAAATCAAAGTCGAAGGACTAAATAAGGAATCCACGGAATACTTATACAGAAAAAGAATATCAAAGAAGATCGCTGGGAATGAAATATTAGAAAACGATAACATATGGAATCACTTGGAAAGAGTGGAATGGACTTGGAATCACTTGTGCTAGTAACCTGAAGAAATGGGGATACCAGGAGAACGATACCTGCGACTATGGCGCAGTTCAGAATAATTACCATCTACTATCAGGCACAGAGATGAGCGAGACCTGCACAGAAGAAGACCTATTCTTAGCGAATGACAGGGCCATCTATTTGGCCAACCATTGGAAACACAAAATTTAAAGCTGTTGGTGTTCCGGACACGGAAAGTAAGTAAGTACTTGGAGAGAGAAAAGTAACGAACACTAACATATCAAAAAAGAAAACACCATGGTTTAGAGAGGAAGTGAAGACAAAATACGAAGAAAAAAAGAAAGCCTTTTTACAATACAGAACACAAAAAACACAACAGGCATACAACCACTATAAACGAATCAGAAATGAAACGAATACTTTAGTTAGACAAATAAAAAGCGAACACTGGTAGAGCTTCTCAAAACACATGGAACACGAGTTCTATGGAATACAAAAAGAAATATGGAGAATGATCAGAGGACAAAGAAAAGAGATGAACGAACTAATAAAAACGAAACACATTCAGAAGGAAACATGGGTAGACTAATTTCGATTCTTATTTGCTGAAGGTGACGATAATGAACTACCAATACCAGATGTGACTACAAACGAAGAAATAAATAATGAGGAGGAAGAGGTACAGGAAGCATTAAAGAAATTAAACAATAGAAAATCACCACGATGGAACAGAATACCGAACGCACTACTCCTAAAGTACGGAGGACCAGATCTAACCAAACAGATATTAAAACTAATCCAAAAAATAATAGAACAAAACAGAATTCCTCAAGAATGGAGATCAAGCATCCCAATACCTATCTCTCTTATATGCCAAACCGGCATATCTATGTTTCGTGAACCTTAAGAAGGCATATGATTGGGTCAAATTAAAAGACCTAGGAATAATCAAAATGATCGAAAATATCTACCAAAACAACACAATAAAACAGTAACAAACAAAATAAAAGTAAAAGTAGAAGAAGAACTAACCAACTGTATTGAAGCTGGCATGGAATAAGACAGGACGATTTCCTGCGTCCTCTATTATTCAACCTGATAATGGATGAAATAATAAAAAAAGTAAAAACTAAAAAAGGATACCAAATGGGAGAAAAACTCTGCTTTGAGACAACGCAATACTACTCTCTCAAAGTGAAGATGATTTACAACGTATGCTGCACCAATTTAATATAACCGCCAGAAAATTTAACATATTAATTTCCCAAAAAAGATAAAATGCATGGTTACAACAGTAAATTCACTAAGATGTAAATTGGAGCTGGAAGGTCAGATAATAGAACAAGTGATGGACTTTAAAAATCTAGGCATCGCAATGGATAGGTCGAAACTGAAGTGGAAGATCAAGAGAATAGAGCAAACAGAGCCGCAGGTTGCCTGAATGAAACAATATGGAGAAATAAAAATATCGGAAAAGAAACGAAAGACAGACTTTACAAAACAGCCATCAGACCAATAATGGCATACGCGGCAGAAACAAGACCTGACATTGAGAGGACAAAAAAGATGTTAGAAACAGCATAGATGAAAACACTTAGAAAAATTGATGTTAAGATAGTATGGGACAAAGCTAGAAGTACAGATATACGATGTAGATGCAAGGTGTAGAACATCAAGAACTGGATAGGTAAAAAATAGAAGAGTCGAATGGAACGATCATATAAGCCGAATCACTACATACATAGTAGTAAAGATGGCAAGAGAACGATTCCCCGATAGGAAGAAGATCAGTAGGAAGACCACTAAAACGATGGAACGACAATTTACTGGAGGCACATTGAAAAATAGACAGTCATGTCTATATAAAAATAAGAAGAAGAAATGAATCAAGCAGAATGTGGAATCTAGACACTAGAGTGGAGGTTTCCGTTAAACCTTTAATTATTATCAATATGACTAGTTTTCTTTTATTTTTCTTGTGAAAGTTTTCTTCAGACGTTAATATTTTGACTGTTTGTGGAATCTTTCTCAATATTACCTCATATAATAGGTAAGTTAATTTTGTTTACATAAAAAATAAGTCAAATTAAAATAAAAAGAGAAATCATACGATTTCTACCTGGCGAAATCGAATTCAAATATAGGCCGCCGTGCCCCCTAAGACTTGCGAAGCAAACAGCTTGATGAATGCATCGGCAAGGGAGTCTAAAAATTGCACTCCAAATGCCGTTCATCATGGCCTATATTCGTAGTGAATTCGATTTCTGGTACTCCAAATGAAGTAAATAAACAAAACAAAATGACGGTATTAGATTTTGATTTGATACAGAGCAGCAACAAGCCGCATATACGTATTTCGATCTCTTTAGATCTCCTCAGTACGGTATAGTTACTACTCCATATCAAACCAAAATATTTTCCCGTCGTAGATTATAGTTATTAAAAATAACTATTTACGGACGTATCTACGCCATCTAAGAACAAAAAGAGAAATCATACGATTTCTACCTGGCGAAATCGAATTCAAATATAGGCCGCCTTGCCCCCTAAGACTTGCGAAGCAAACAGCTTGATGAATGCATCGGCAAGGGAGTCTAAAAATTGCACTCCAAATGCCGTTGTAGTTCTTCTTCTTCTTCTTCTTTTTTATAAGCAAAATGCTTGTTCAATGTCGATTAATGCCTCTATTGGAGGTTATCACTCCATCTTTTGCGTGGTCGCCCGATACTTCTTCTACCTTTTGGTGATTTGTCCCTCGCTATTCTGACTAATCGGGTCTCTTCCATTCTGTTTATGTGTTAGTTCCATTCTTTTTTCTGTTCAGTGTCCACTCATTTATTTCTGGTATATTGCATTTTCTTCTGATCTCTTCACTCCTCATTCGATCCCTCAGTGTGTTTCCTGTAATTCTCCTCAGTAAACGCATCTCCGCTGTTTCTAGTAGTTGCTGAGTTTTGGAGGTATCCGGTCTTGTCTCTGAAGTGTATGTCATTATTGGTCTTATTGTTGCTTTGTAGATTCTTGATTTCACGTCGGTATTAATGTGGGGATTGCGCCATATCGTGTTATTAAGACAACCTGCTATTTTATTAGCCTTTTGTACTTGATTTTTCACTTCCTTCTCCACATCTCCGTAGCTAGACAGTGTAATTCCTAGGTAATTTGTCTCCATTACTTGCTCAATGCTGATACCGTCGATTTCCAGTTTACATCTAATTGGTTCTTTACTGATTACAATTGTTTTAGTTTTCTGTGTAGAGATCACCATATTAAAGTCCTTTGCCCTTGTGTTGAATCTATGGGTTAGTCTTTGTAGATCGTCTTCATTGGATGCAATTAGGGCCGCATCATCTGCATAGCAGAGTATTCTGATTTCTTTGTTCCCCATTTTGTATCCTCTTCCTTTATTAATAGTATTGATGATTTCATCCATGATTAGATTGAATAGCGTTGGACTAAGCGAGTCTCCTTGTCTTATTCCATTGCCCATATCTATTGGATCTGTAAGCTGGTCATCTATTCTGACTTCCATATTGTTGTTCTGGTAAATGTTCTCTATTGTTTTTATAACATCTAGTGGAATTTCTCTATCGTAAAGAAGGTGAATTACATCTTTAAGCTTTACTTTATCGAACGCTTTCTTCAGGTCTATTAGACATATGAATGCTGGTCTGTTATACTCTAGTGCTTTCTCGGTAATCTAGTCTTATGATGAATACTGCATCTGTGCACGATCTTCCTATGCGAAAACCCTGCTGTTCATCCGCTAAGGTAATTTTCTGATTTATTTGGCCTTGCAATATTTTGGTTGTAAGCTTCAAAGTGGTGTTTAATAAGTTGATACCTCTGTAGTTTTCAGGTTGTTTTTTATCTCCTTTTTTGTATAGTAGGATAAGCTCGCTTTTCTTCCACTCTTCAAGTATTTTATTATGTTTGATGATTTTGTTAATTAGTGCTGTTAGCTGTTCTGTTAATGCTTCTCCACCATATTTCAATAATTCATTTGGAATTCCATCTTTACCTGCAGCTTTTCTGTTCTTCAGTTTTTCTAAAGTTTGTTTTACTTCTTGTACGGTTATCTCGACTTCCTCGTTTGTAATGATTTCTGGTGTTTCTGGTTCTAACATATTTGCTGTTCATCATTATAAAGCTTCTTTAGGTATTCAATCCATGTGTCGTTATCTATGTGTTTCGGTTCGATTCGGTTCGGCTTGTAGTTGTGTATACAAAAACACAAATTTGGTAATAATTTTTAAAATTCACTTAAAAACGTAAACGATACGCGACTGTGTATGCAGTGAACGTCCAGACTGAGTGATATATCTCTCTCTAACTTGCGAATCGACTTAGATTGTCTACTGATTTTTTTTTCTGGTCAGCATTGTTTTATGAGATATGAGATACTTTGAACAAGTCCGTTATTCTATGACTATTTGACTGTAGGTGAAGTATTAATACAGATATTGATAATAATGATCTGTAATCACAACCTGAGTACACTTGTGTCGTTAAAACTCAATTTCTCTGAATTTGGTGCCTAGAATATTGGAACTTTACTATACTGAAGTGAAGGTTGATTTTAACGATTCTAGTGACGAAAACAGTGGATATGATTATAAAAGTAGTAATACTGTAAACACTAAGTTTTAAAGTTAAAACAATGCTTATCGATGAGTAATAATATTGTAATATGTGTTATTTCAAATATACAAAAATGTTGCAATATATAGTCTAATATTATTGTTTAATACATTGTGTTGATTTTATACACATCTTTAACAATTTGACCTATTGTAAATCATAAATATTTTTTGGAACACCACTGCTTCAAGTATTATCATTCCGAGAAATTCTCGCCACTGCACTTGAATCCAGCTGTACATAAGTCATGATACACTTGGTGCAAAACATCGTAACAGTGAAAGAAAAATTGGAAGAAAAATCTAGACAAAACAGTAAAGCATACCTTCTTCCTTCAGCGAGGATTTCGACTTTGTAACTCTCGGCCTCAGCTGGTAGGCGCACAGTGGCATTCAGTTCTCGTTCTTTTCTGAGAACTTCCTGTGCTTCAATTTCGATCTGCTTCTTTCTCTCAACAACGTCGATCTGAATTTCTTCGTTTCGGATTCTTTGTCGAATTTTTGCGGCTTGTAGTTCGTAGGCTAACTGAGCTTGTGCTTTCTAGAAACAAAGAAGCACAAAATTAAAACAATAAATGTGCAATAGATATTGTACGAAAAAAAATGAAGAACTGGAAGAAAAAAACATCCTTCTGTTCATATGACGTTAAAGTTCTATAAAATATTCTTTTCTGCGATGTAACGCCTGGTATATTATTTAATTCCAGTTTATACTCGATCCAAACCACAATAGCATCTATAGTTAATATATACAGTGCTTTTCAGATAAAACTATCCACCTTAAATATCTTTTGAACCTCTAATTTTGTGGAAAAACGCAAAAACACGTCAATTAATATCTGAAGGGGGAGACAATATCATATTAAAGGTTGCTGGAAAATGCACCCTCTCACCCCCTGTATCAACCCATTATTTTTTTAAATTACTTCCCCCTTTTTATTTTATATTTGGATTCTCCTTTTTGTACTGATTTCAAAAATGTATAATACCTTTGGCTTGAAGTGATTAGTTTATCAGATAGACAATTTTCCTGTTAACAAGACTGTATGGTCTCCCTCACCTTAATTGACTTAACGAAATAGGTTGTAGCATAATTTAAACTCTTTAAATATTTAACCGTACTATTTGTAGTACCTTCAAAAACCAAGAAACAAAAAATTCACTTTTTATTCAAGTTTTATCAAAGTTTTCGATATCATTTTTACATTTGTTTTAATCGGTTAATAGCGACAATTTGTTATAACTTGTAAGTAACAGCTTATTTTGATACGTGTGCAATTTGATCGCTGAAATGGTGTACACTTTGCAAGAAAGAATCGAAATTGTAGGTTTATACTACAAAAATAATAATTGTGCAAGAGCTGCTGCTAGAATTTTTAATGAAACACACCACAATAGACATGCAACTCATAAGTGTGTGATTGAACTGACGCAGAAAAAATTAGAGCAAGAGGGTCAGTTTGCAATAAAAAACATAACCGACAGGAACTTGTAAATAAAAAAGCAATCCAAGTAGCTGTTTTAGGGCAAGTTAACTTAGACTCTTACAATCACAGTCACTGTCAACAATCAGCAGAGCAATCGGTGTTTCATCTTCTACAGCCTTTGTAGCGTTTACGCTACTGATTAACCCCTCAAGAAACTTCTTGTGTTCCGCCAGCGATCGATTTTTAAATCGACATTTCTCCACCCACGCGCTGGGAGCGCTTTTAAAGGATTGATCGATTTTGTGCGGTAGAGAACGATCAGTTTGGTCAAAAGACTCACTAGCAGACACGCCAACGGGTGAAATTTTTTCACCTTCAAAGTGACGGAATTGGAGCAAGGAAGATAATTTGGGGAAGAATAAAATAGAAATATTAATAATAATAAATTAATTTTTTAAAATCAAGATTTTCTAATTTATAAGAGTTCCATATAAAAAGGAAGAGTTTTTTTTGGCGTGCTGCGGCTCCATGTAAGTAAATAATTTCATACGTATTATCTCTTTATCATATAATCAAATTTATCATTGCAGTTTAGTATTTCTTTAGAGATTTATTTTTGAGTTCCGAAATGATTTAAATATAAAATTTCCTTGATTTACTTACAAAGAACATAAGGTCATTTTTTATATAGTTAAATTTAAATTCTGTTTTATTCCATATCTTATCAGTAAGTTTTTTGGTTCCTTTTTCTCTCATTTTTTTGGTGGAATATACAAGGTTTCTACAGCCTTCTGTGTTCTGCGCGTGTTCATTTCATGGCGCAAGCCTGTCATGTCTACGAAATGAACTTCGGAAATTTTGACATTTTGGACCTCTAATGTTTTGATGTTTTGTTTTGGTGCAGTTAATCCAGTGCTGTCATGCAAGTCACTTCACTTGAGAGTATTCTCTTGAGAATATTCCCTCAAGGATACTAGTAACAAAATTTCTTGAATAGTTAACAACTCGGTTATGGAGGTTACCGATTTCTCGGAGCAGATAGACCAGTGCCTGGTTTCGACTACATTAGACTCACCTGGGTTTGTCCTTACAGCAACAAATAATTTAGCCGTGCCAAGAGGAGTTTTTCCTATGGACTTATAGTGCTGTAAAGATAAGTTGTTTGACTGTGTAATTTTTTTTGTTACTGTCTATTTGTTAACTTTTCATATGCATATGATCAAGTGACTAAATTTTGATAAAATATAATTTTGATATTATTGGGAGAGGGAAAATACCTTTCATGCTTTATGAGGTTTTTATTTTAAAATAGGATATACAGAGTCTGACCGAACTCACTGGTTGATTTAATATATATTTTTTTAATAGAATTCACTTTTGATATAATATTTTTTTTTAATTTTAATTGGGGAGGGAAATAAATTTATGTGGTTTTTTTTTAAATCTGATATAATGAGTATTGAGAACTCACTTTTGAGATAATATAATTGTAACAGAGTTATCATTGTTGATATCTGTACAATACGGTAATTATTTCTCATTTTAGTAGAACTATTTAAATTTAAATTATATTTAAAAATATTTTAAACTTTATCTGGCCAGTGGTAGTGACTATTCGCTTGTTGAGGGGCTATTAGGTCCTATTGTATCTTTACACTACCCACTACCACTGTTATTTAGCTTTGCATTATATGTAAATTGTTCATACATGTATATCTATATACACGTTTTATAAATATATTTATTGTTATTATTTTGAGTTTTATTTCAGTTCTACTAACCAGTATATAATATAGCAAGACAAGATTAATATTTAGTATTTTTGGATTTCAGGTTATTATCTCTAGTATCATTTGTTTCCGGTCATTTGTTACTTCAAAATCTCAACTATCGTTGAGTTGGCGCCCTTCTTTTTCTCTTCTTATTGTTCTCTTTCTATAAATTTATTCCCAGTGACCTTCTTTAGTTGTATCACATTTGATATTACCAGGTCTCATTTCGTTTCTTGTCTCATTAGCTCAGTATCCTTGCTATCTGTTTATATCTTTAAAGCCACAATCCAGTGCATTGAAGCTAGCCCGAACACTCACTTGAGATTTAGTGTCTCTTTGGCCATTTAAATTTGTTCCTCTGAGCTTAGCCATATCTTTAGTATTTTCATCACCACTCTTCCAGTTCTTCTGGAATTTGGAAGTCTTACACTTCCTAAAATCCAATACTCCCGGAGTATTGAGGTTTCACCTTCTGAGTTCTCCATAAATTTGAAGAAGATTTGATCGTCCGTACCGAATTTTGCGAATTAATGATACAATTCATTAGTAACAATCCACAATTGTTAAACAATATTTGCTTCTCGGATGAGTGCTCCCTCTAATTAAACGGTTTGGTGAACAGATATAATTGCCGATACTGGGCTGAGATTGAACCACATATTGTACACGAATTTGGTGTGGTATCCTACGTGATCACATTATCGGACCCTTGTTTATCACTGGAAACTTAAATGGTGCATTGTATCTTGAATTCTCTAGGCAAGTGGTTGATCGTATTAGAATAATAGTAGAAAATGATAATAATCTTTTCAAAGATTTGGTTGTATTTCAACATGATGGAGCTTCTCCACACTTTGCTTTACTTGTACGATAATTTTGAAACAAAACGTTTCCCGGTCCTTGGATAGGTAAAAAAAGACAGATGATGGATTGGCCACCCAGGTCACCGGATTGAACACCCCTAGACTTCTTCTTATGGGGGTATTTAAAAACAAAAATTTATGCTACTCAACCAGAATCTCTAGATGATTTACGACAAAGAATAGAGGATGAATGTCGACAATTAAATGCAGACGTGAGCAATGTCAGAGAAGAATTTCAAAATAGATTGTACTATTGTATGGAGACGTGCATTTTGAACAATTATTGTAAAAATTTTTAGTAATGAAATGTTCATTCTAAATATGTGTAATAAAATTGTTAATTTTTTTTTTCAATTGAATTTTCTTGCTTTTGCATTTATTTTTCTCATAAACTAATCACTTTAAGCATCATTTATTATACATTTCTGAAATCAGTACAAAAAGGAGAATCCAAATATCAAATAAAAAAAGTGGGAAGTAATAAAAAAAATAGAGGGATGATACGGGGATGAAAGGGTGGATTTCCCAGCAACCTTAAATACGATATAATGTCAACCTTAATTGACGTGTTTTTGCGTTTTTTCCTAAAAATTAATAGTTATTTATTTAAGGTGGATAGTTTTATCTGAAAAGCACTGTATAAGCATTTTATGCGTTTGACATTTCAATCTTTTTACAACTATAATAATTCTTCTTAATTTCTTTAAAGACCTTGCCAAAGTAGTCGTCACGTGGTGAGACACTTGAAAATATCGGGATTAAGAGGAATTATAATTGTAAAAAGATTTCATAGTTCAAGTCATAAAACATTGTTTGATTTGAAATTTTGTTTCTGTTAGTTAAATACTTCTCAACCAATCATTATTTACTTTCAATAGTATATTATTGTTAAATACATATAAAAATGTATATTTTTCGTTTTCGTTTCCTAATCTTTTATATTACATACTTCAATTCTTGTTGATTTTATTTTTTAAGTGCAGACAGAGGTAATAATTGTTATGCATAATATCTTTTATTTTAAAGGTCTCATTTTGAAGAATGAGAAAGGCACTATATGAATAAAAATACTTACGGCAGTGTTGACTTCCTGGTCAAAGTTTGCTTTTTGCAATTTAAACATTCTAGAATTGTCTTCGATTTTTGTATCCGTGGAATACTTAATGTCCATTGCAGACTTCTGACACTCAGATTCCTAAAATAACAGAAAAATCTTCATGAATTTTGGAAGTTAGTCATTTAGAACTATACTTTGAGGTTATGTGTGTATTATTTATTTCTAGTAGACAAAATATGCAAACAAATGAAAGAAGACGTCAAAAAAACACAAACCAAAATAATGATCCAAAGCAAACACGACGTTAAGGATCTGGACATGTGAATATAAGTATATATACCCCGTTTGAAATATAAATGGTAGATTCTTCAACTCCGGTTATAACTGAAGACTTAGAAACTACATTCTGAACAGAAATAATGGGGTGTTCATGCACAAGCACATGCCTGAACATAAATTTAACACTACAGCCTTCAAATGCACAGTTAAAATACACTAAATTTCAAAGGAATAAAAAGTTAGAAGTTTGTCCTTTTTTTTGCACGAGTTCACTTAACAGTGCTTTTTGTCAGAGTACAAAACTAACAATTATGGACGTTATATTTAAGGATCTAAACAAACAGTTAGCAATAAAAATTTTTAATCATGTCTAAGGAACTTAGGTGCTTCTTAATGGTATTTGATAACTGAACAGATAATGTATGTACTCACATTAATGGTTTATTAACATTACTACAATATTTGAAACAATTCAAAATCATGTAAGATCATGCATAAGAAGATCATTCATAAGTAAGAAGTGAGTAAAAATAAAAAAATATAGACCAAAAAAATCATACATTATATACTATAGTTAGTATAATATAAGACTAAATACCAGGCAACTATGCAGAAAAGAAGAGAAATGAGAAGCGAGAGAAGAAACTAAAGCCGACGAACTACAAAAATTAAATCTAGAAATATCCAAAGCTGTTAGACATGACACTCGAAAATACAACCAAGAACAAATCGAACATACCATTGAGAACAATAGAAGTATAAAAGGATTAAGAAAAAGACTAAGAACGGGGACAAGGCAGATAATAAAGATTAAAGAGAGAAATGGTCATCTTACAACCAAAAGAGACGAAATCCTTAAAATAGTTAAAGACTTCTACAAATTGCTGTACACAAATCAAATAGCAGAGAAGATCAAGTAACAGATATATTAATAAGCAAAAAGGGCATTGTCAACCAAGGATCAGAACTACTACCGGAAATTACAATAGACGAAATAAAACTTGCCCTAAGAAAAGCTAAGGATAACAAATCTACAGGCGAAGATTGTATAGTTACTGATGCAATCAAAGTCGAAGGCTCTTGCCTCTGTGCCTTTTGGACAGTAATATACCCGAAAAATGGCACAATGCTGACATAATTCTATTGTACAAAAAAAGGAGATCCCATGAATTAGAAAACTACAGATCTATCTAAGTCTTCTTAGTTCACCTTAGCAATAGAGCAAGCGGTATTTCGTACCGGATTTGGAACAAATGATCACCTACAGAGCATTAAAATGGTAATAGAAAAGACTATCGAATACAATCGACCACTCGTTCTGGCTTGTAGATTTCCATAAAGCCTTTGACACGGTAGAATTTGACAAAATCCTGAAAGAAGTACAAGCATGATGCATTGATTCTTTCTTCTTTGGGTGCCGTGTCCGTATTCAGACGTTGGCCTTCATCATGTTTACAATTTCCTGAAACCTTTCTCTGTCGGCTGCTGCGCGAAATAATTCTTCTACTGTGAAACCACACCATTGTCTAATATTACGCAACCATGAAAGTTTCTTTCGACCAATCCATCTCTTTCCTTCCACTTTTCCTTGTATTATAAGGCGAAGTAAATGGTATTTGGGTCCTCTAATTATATGGCCAAAGTATTCTGTTTTTCTCCTCTTTATGGTGTTTATGAGCAGACGTTCTGAGTTGATCATTTGAAGAACATCTTCATTGGAAGTGTGCGAAACCCACGATATCTTTAGGATTCGTCTATAGCACCACATTTCGAATGCTTCTAACTTGTTTAGCATTGTGGTTTTTAACGTCCATGTCTCACAACCATACAATAGGATCGACCACACACATTTCAGGACCTTCTTACGAATGTTCATTGACAGGTTTCTGTTGCATAAAACTGGTTTCCAGGTCATAAAAGCCTTACGTGATATTCGATCCTGGATATTATCTCTTCATCAGAGTCACAATTTACATTTAACCAGCTGCCAAGGTATTTGAAATGGTTTACCCTTTCTATCTCTTCTCCATTAAGAGAAAGCAGACCTCGATCTATATGGATCTTTCCAACTGCCATCCACTTTGTCTTTGAAATGTTGATTTTTAGGCCTCTCCGATAACTTGCTTCACTGACTAGATTTAGTAATGTTTGGAGATCTTGTAAACTTTCTGCAAGAATGGCTGTATCGTCAGCGTATCTAATATTGTTGATTACTTCTCCACCTAGTCTTGCATTGATTACCGATATAAAAGGTTAACTTAGAATACATACAAGAACGCAACTATGTCAGTGAAACTACTTAAAAACACCTATCATATCCCAATCGGCGGAGGAGTTCCACAGGGTGATACCTTATCGCCTAAACTGTTTACCGCAGTACTAGAATATGCTTGTAAAAAACTTAACTGGGAAGAGAAAAGCTTGAACATTGACGGTAGAAGTTTCAAATTTGAAATTCGCAGACGACATAGTTTTGTTCTCGGACAACCTCAAGGAGATATGTGCAATGCTACATGAACTTCAGTTAGTGTGTGCCAGTGTGGGTCTTAAAACATCTAAATAAACATCTCCAAAACAAAATTCATGACAAACCTAGTAGAAGTAAAGCTGGTGGAAAAATACATATACCTTGGACACGAAATAAAGATCACAAGAGACAATCAAGCATGCGAACTACGAAGAAGAATATACCTAGCATGGACAGCCTATGGAAAACTCAAAGACATCTTTAAAAACGATATATCAATTTCTTTAAAACCTAAAACATTTGACTAATGTGTTGCCTGTGATAACCTATGGTGAGAAACTTTGACAATGACAGCTACAACTTCTAAAACGCTGCAAATAACTCAGAGGAAAAAGGACAGGAGTTACAGATGTAATTTTCCGAATTGCCACACTGAAATGGAACTGAGCCGGACACGTCGTCCGAGTTAAGGTCGATTCAGACACATCAGTCACGTCTCGTCACAGTGATTGCGCCGAACCGAACAATCCGTCATATAAAATATTCTTTAATACAAAATGTTGCCGGCATTCACACTCATCAGTTGACAAACAGTTTCCCAGCTGTCAGATAGTTGATAGTTCTGTAACCAAACAGGATCGGTTCGGCGCCGAGACTATGACGGGACTGATGTGTCTGAATCGACCTTAAGTGGTGAAAGGTGGACAAAGAGATTGCTTGAGTAGAGGCAGCGGTTAGACAAAAGAAGTAGAGGAAGACTCTACTCTACTCTACTCGTTAATCTGACGCTCAAGAAAATGTCAAGAAATTGGATGAAAAGTGCTTAAGATAGAGCACAATGGACAAAAATGAATGAGGCCTATGTCCAGCAGTGGACGCAAAGGGCTGGGTGATGATGATGATGATAGTAGTTAGTATTAGAAAAAATAAGGACACACATGGTGACAAGACACGATCTTCTTCTTCTTCTTCGTCTAGCCATTCACGTCCACATCTGAACATAAGCCTCTTCAAGTCTTCCTTTCCATTGTTTTTTATTGTACGCTACTTGTAGCCAATTTTTCCCGGCAGTCCTTTTCAGATCATCTGTCCATCTCATAGGAGGTCTGCCTCTGGGTCTTTTGTGTTGGTATGGTCTCCAGGTTAAAATTGATCTGTGCCATTTGTTTAGATCGCTCCTAGCTACATGTCCAGCGTATTCCCATTTCAACTTTAATGATTTTTGCACCACATCGGTGACTTTGGTTTTCTGTCTTATCCATGTGTTTGTTTTCTTGTCCTTAAGTGATATACCTAGCATTGCTCTTTCCATCGCGTGTTGAGTGACTCTAAGTATATTCATATTCTTTTTTGTGATTGTCCATGTTTGTGCCGCATAAGTTAATATCGGAATAATGCATGCATCAAAAACTTTAGATCTAAGATGTAATTGAATTTGTTGATTTCTGAGTATATAGTTCAGTTTACCGAATGCTGCCCAAGCCAACTTTCTTCTTCTTTTTATTTCTTCAGTTTGAATTTCCCTATTTAGGATTATTTTTTGTCCTAAGTAGTATATATATTCTTCAACTTTTTCTATAACTTTATCGTTTATTATTGTCACGGTGTCTTCGGAGTGCATGACTTTTGTTTTGTTTAAATTCATTTTCAGTCCTATTTTAGAAGATTCGGTATGTAGTTCTAAAAGCATGGTTTGCATTTCTTGTAGGTCAGTAGCTATCAGGATTATGTCATCTGCAAATCGTAGATTACTGAGGTAGCGGCCATTGATGTTTATTCCCTTATATTTCCAATTTAGGTTTTTAAAAACGTCCTCCAAAACTAAGGTGAACAGTTTGGGTGATAAAGTATCTCCCTGTTTGACTCCCCTGTTTAATGGTACAGGGTTCGTGTGTTCATTTTCATTTAGGTAGTATGTAGCTGTAGCTTGGTTCATAGTTTCTTTTATTAAGTTAATATATCTGCTGTCTATTCTACAATTTTGCATTGCGTTTATTACGGCCGTGTGTTCTATGGTATCGAAAGCTTTTTCGTAGTCTACAAATGCTAGGAAAACTGGAAACTTGTATTCGTTACATTTTTCTATTAATATTTTTGTGGTTAACAGGTGATCGGAAGTTGAATAGCCTTTTCTAAAACCTGCCTGTTCATATGGTTGGTATTCGTCTAATTTCCTTGTTAGTCGAGTAGTTATGACTTTGGTGAGTATTTTAAACAGGTGTGACAGTAGGCTGATGGGTCTGTAGTTTTCCAATTTTCGACTATCACCTTTCTTGTGTAATAAGATTACTTTAGAGTTGTTCCAGCTCTTAGGGACTTTGCCCTGATGTAAACAACTGTCCACAAGCTTAGTTACAATTGCAATTAGTTCCTTACCTCCTTCTAATATCATATCTGTGGTAATACTATCTTCTCCTGCAGCTTTATTTCTCTTCATGTTTTCCAATGCTGTAGTTACCTCTGAAATTGTTACTTTTGGCATTATTTCTGATCCAACATTTTTTATTAATTTCCGTGCTGGTCTCATCTCATCATCTTGTTGATGTGATCTGTAAAGTTCTGTGTAAAATTCTTCTATTCGTGTCAGTATGTTTTCTCTACTTGTGATTTCATTTTCGTCTTTTCCCATTAATGATATCATCTGACGTCGTCCTAGTGTCGGTCTGAGGCATTTCATACTCTTATTTTTTTCAATAGTTGTTGTTATTAATTTTTCGTTTTCTTTTCTTTTTGTTGTCTAATTCCTTTTCTAATCTGCCTATTAAGTTCTCTATATTCGTCGGTTCCCCTTTTGTTAGATTTATTTAAGATCTTCCTTCTTTCTATTTGTTGTAATATTTCTTTGTCTAATTCATTGTATGTTGTTTTTGGTTTTTTCAGTTGCAGAAGGCTTTTATTCACTGTTTCGGTAATAAGGTTATTCAAATCATCAATATCATTGGAGTTTATCTGCTGCATGCTAACTTGATTTAATGCATGCACTATCTTTTTATTAAATTCACTATTTTTGATTTCTTCAGATGTCCATTTGTATCTTTTTTCATGTATTCTTTTTCTTTCTAGTTTTTTGTTAATTATTAGTTTTGTTCTTATTAGTCTATGATCGCTTCCTAGGTCAAACTGATTTAATACTGATACGTCTTCTACTAGGTTTCTATTCTTCGTTAAGATATAATCTATTTCATTCTTTGTCTTTTTATCGGGACTCATCCATGTCCATTTTCTGCTTGGTTTTTTATTGAAAAAGGAGTTCATTGAGTACATGTTATGTTCATTCATGAAATTGAGAAGCATTTACTCCTCTATCGTTTCTTTTCCCGTAGCCATAGTTACCGATTAAATGTTCATAATCTTCCTCTTTTTTGCCCAATTTAGCATTAAAATCTCCTAATAGTATTTCGTAATTTGCTGTATTTGTTTCTATAGCTGTTCTTATTTCATCATAAAATATTTCTACTTCTTCATCGTCGTGGCTTTTGGTCGGAGCGTACACTTGGATCACTTTCAGAGTGGTTCTTTGTTCTTTTATTAATCCTGATGATGGGATATGCTACTCTGTCTAAGACACGATCAATAAGAGAGAATTCCATAATTTCTATAATACTAATAAAAGAATATGAAAAATATCTTACCCTAATACCAGCATCTCTGTTCGCTTCTGCGACTCCCGCATCAGCGTCTCTCTTGACCATGGCCGTTTGGGCCTTGCCGAGAGACGTGAGGTATTGCACCTCATCATAAACGTCCTTGATGGTAAACGATAGGATTTCGATACCCATCCGGCCGACATCTGGAGCAGCCACTTCGCGAACCAGGGCAGCAAATTGATCCCGGTCGCGGTAGACCTCTTCGACTGTAAGAGTTCCTGAAAGAAACAAAATAAAAAATTAATTTGTAATAAAGTTAAATCAACACAGATAAATTGAATGTATTTATTATCCTGTCAGACCCAAAGGGTTTAGGACAAAACGTTATATATAAATTCCTTAAATTGCTAACATGTTTTTCCATTATAAAGCTTAATGCTTATGTCCCCCCATACCCCATTTTGTTCTTTCTTTTCACCCAATTTTTGTCAAATTCCTTAGCAGAAAGATTTCAAGACTCTCTCTAAAGACACATACTCCAGTTACATTGACTGCTTTGTTCAGACTTCCGTTATAATATCCGTCATTTTAATCGCTATTAACAAGTCCACACAGAAGGACTAGCAATCCCAGTGGAGTCCTACGTTACCATGTGACCAATGCATCCTAGTTTTATTTTACCATATTTAAAGGGTTTTTACCCACATATTTAGTGGCTTCAAACATGTAAATCCAGGATTAAACCACATTTTTGTAACATTGGTCAACATTTTAAATTTCACGTTTGCTTTAATTAAAGTGGTAATACTTATTTTAGGATAGCACTGATGATGGAATAGTTATTACGAAAACGTTCTGTGATGTAGCCCGATAAGGTTTTTATAATAATATACCTTTTATAGGAACTTTTTTAAATATAAATTGTAAAGACTGCAATTCAACATTTATTGAGAAAACACGCCAATATCTACACAGAAGCGTTGTTGTACACAAAAAACACAAGTAAGGCAGCTTCGGCAGAACTGACTCTTCTTGTTATTAGAAGGTCAAAAACGCCATTTCTTATATTTGTAATTTTGTAAGACTATTTGATGTCGCTCCCATAAAAGAATCAAGTGCGTTTGTCAAAGATAAGTGTAATGATGGGTAAAATCGAAGGACGCGGAGCAACTATTTAGAATAGCTCGAGACAGAGACAGTTTCGCCATGTTAATCGCCAACGTCAAGGGGACTTGATAGGGTACGTTAAGAAGAAGAAGTATATGTCTCATCTGGACCAGAGGCCTTTCTTCATCAAATGTATCTTCGATGTATTTTTCCCATATATTTCCTAAATTTTCTGAGCTAAATACTATTTGGTTGTTATCATCCACTAGATTTGTTGTAGTGAATTTTTTCTTCATATCTGTGACTTCCTTAATATTTTTTTATGCATTGAAGTAGTCATGTTTTTTTAGTAATTCCCTTAGTTCCTCACATCTGCTGTTCATTCATTCTTCTTTGGCTTTCCTGATTTTGTTTCGGAGGGTTCTTTGGATTTCTTTATATTCTACTCATTGTGGTTTTTGTAAGATCTTACGTCCATCAGTTCTAGGATTTCTTCTGTCATCTATGTATTCTTTGTTTTTCTTGTGTTGTCTTGTAGTTGTTCTGTTTGTATAGTTGTGATTGTTGTTTTGAAGGTGTGCCAAATACTTTCTACTGATTCTTCGGCTACCGCGAGGACTGCACTGAATTTTTCTTTGAGTGTAACATTGAGTATTTTTCTATCTCTGCCTGTACTGTTGGATCTTTTGAAGTTTTTCGGGCTATTCGATGTTCGTCCCGGGATATGTTTTAACTGGCCTGATTCCATTTCTATAACGTTTGTCAATTAATATATATATAACCAATCTGGTTTCTTATTATGTGGTTTTGATTATATCCAGGTGCTTTCCATGTGTATAATCTTCTTTTTGGTAGTCTAAACCAGATGTTTGCGATCACTAGATTTTCTTCTTGTAAAATTGGACCAGTATTCCTCCACTATTATTTCTTTGGCCCAAACCAAAGTTCCCGACTACGTCTTTGGTCCGCCCTTCACTTACTTTGAGATTAAAATCTCCCATAATAATGTTTACAGCCATACAAAATTTAATAATAAAAAACCACATATATTATTAAAAAATATATATTAAAAAAATATTTCATTTAAATTTGTTATTAAATAAAAAGTGTGATTATAACATTATCAACTTTCATACAAATTTAATATCGATTTTATGTCAGCGATTATTAGAACTTCATTTTTAACATAAAAATACTGTAACAATACGATTTTTGTTCATTTTTCATATCGTGATGTACTCTATTTTTATCTGTTATATCTCACTGTCCGATATACATTTAATTTTTTAACAAAAATCGATATTGTGTGTTACTACCCGCAAGAGAATCGATTCCCTAATAAATACTTCAGGGATGAAGTGTTTACATTCACATTAGTTATTCCAAATGACGTAGACACCTTGAGTTATAACTATTTTATGCTCAGTAATTGTATTTGATGTCGATCAACGAGGGTGTAATGATATGGTACGTATAATGATAAGTTTCTGACAACATGACAAAATATTGTAATAATTTTTTTTGTTTACGACATAAATAGATTAAAAAAAGTTAAAAAGGAGTGGCAACATACTGCTGGAGAAAAAGTTTTTGCTGGATTTTAAGGCTTCTTAAACATATGCTCCATCGAATTTAGACCTGGACTACGTGCGGTCAATTCGATCTTATTCATCAGCAAATTCCTCTGCTAGAGGGATAGACTGATCCCAGCGCTTCATTAACAACTCGATGCCTTTCTTGTAAAACGATTTGACTTAGCTCAAATGATCCCCAGTTTTGCAATAATATCTTCGTTTGATTCAAATCTCGTTCCCTTGAGCATTCTAATGAGGTCTTTCGAAGTATGATTCGAGTGTTTCTGTTACTTTTGTGATCAACTTGTAACACGGTGTAACAATTTTTTTTCATTTGTACCCCTTTTCGCAATTTCTGCTTTTAAAAGCTCCACTATCGCTATATAATATTGACAGGGGTCTGTATTAGTATTATACATTATATTATATTATATTATTATATAGATATATAGTATTTCCCTGTCTCACCTCAAGGATCTCTCTTAAAACGAATATCTGGTCTATCATTGAATGACCAATATTCAATTTTGATATTCACCGAAAATTTCTTTAGAATATAAGCTTAGACATATGTAAATTATGTTACAGAGTATTTCACATATTATATTCCAGAGGATTATCACTTTGTAATTTTCATACGGTGGTATGTAAGTTTGAAGTAAAGTTAAAAAAGCCAAATGTAAAAAACAGGCCCGAAACGCTAGATATTAGGAAGCTTTCCAACAATAATATTAAACAACAGATGCAGGAGAATTTAAATACCCAAATATCAAAAATCCTTAAAAATAACAATGAACCGCTGGAAAAGTAGAGTCAAATTAAAGAAGAGATTAGGACTTCAAGCACTAAGTTTTTACTACCTGATAAGAGAAAAAATAACTGGATGACTGCAGAAATCCTTGACATGATGGAAGAGAGACGGATATATAAAACTAAAGATACTGCCAAATACCGTGAAACCCATAGACGAATAAGAGCTGAGATAAGAAAAACTAAAGAGAAATGGTTCTCGGAGAGATGCGAAGAAATCGAACAGTGCGAAAAGGTATACGACTATCACAATATGCATAAGAAGATAAAGGAACTCACAACAAAGAAAAGCTACAATATTTTATCGAAAGGGATGTGCGATGATAATGGAAATCTACAACTAGACCCTGACAAAATAGTTAGAACCTGGGAAACTTGTGTGAAACAACTGTTTAATGATGACCGTCCTAGTGGGTGTACACTGAGCAATGATGATACTGGCCCTTCTATTCTAAAATCAGAAGAGGAGAATGCTATAAAGGGTATTGAAAATGCTGTGCGAAACAAACAGTCAATTTCTATAATAGACTCACTCGTCAGACTCTTTAACAATATTTATAACAGCGGGGAGTTTCCTGAAGACTGGCTAGAGTCAACTTTTGTTGCCATACCGAAAAAACCAAAAGCAAAGTCTTGTGATCAACATCGGATGATAAGTCTAATTAACTACATTTCGAAGGCATACACCAAGGTTATTTACAAGAGAATAAGTAAAAAAAGACAAAGACTCAACAAAGACGTGTACATATGCTTTATAGACTACGCAAAAGCATTCGATAACGTAAAGCACGAAAAGATAATTGAAGTTCTCCATAAGATCGGAGTCGACTACAGAGATATTCGAACAATAGCGAGTCTCTATTGGGGTCAAACAGCTAAAGTGAAAGTAGGATCTACATTGACCAATAATATTGAGATCAAGAAAGGGGTACGACAGGGCTGTATCTTGTCTCCTATTCTCTTTAATATATACTCAGAAGAAGTATTTAAGACAGCGCTGAAGGAAAGCACAGAAGGCATAAAGATAAATGGAGAAATAATTAATAACATAAGGTATGCTGATGACACTGTGATTCTAGCAAGTAGCATGGAGGAACTAAGTTGCCTAATGAACAAGATACAAAAAACAAGTGCACAATACGGACTCAGACTAAATATCACAAAAACCAAATGGATGTTAGTAAGCAAAACCCAACAACCACCACAGCAACTGATATTACACAATGAAAGAATTGAACACGTGGATTCGTACATCTACTTGGGAACAACAGTTAACTCAAATTGGGATCAAGCAAAGGAAATACGTATAAGAGTAGAAATGGCAAGTGCATCGTTCACTAGCATGAAGCAAATTTTCACCTCTACAAGCCTCACCCTACCTCTCAAAATTCGACTTCTGAAATGTTATGTATGCCCGGTCTTGTTATATGGAATGGAGGCGTGGACAATGACCGCAACATTGATGAAAAAAGTAGAGGCCTTCGAAATGTGGGCTTACCGACGTATATTACGTATATCCTGGACTGAGCACGTGACCAACGAAGGGGTACTACGCCGGATAGGTAAAGAGAGAGAGGTAGGAATAAGTATAAACAAAAGAAAGTTGGAATACTTGGGTCACGTTATCAGACATAATGAATATAGAGTACTACAACTGATCGTTCAAGGGAAAATAGACAGCAGAGGGGGTCCAGGGAGGAGAAGACACTCGTGGCTCCAAAACTTCGTTCGGAACGGACAAGGCACATGAAGAAGAATTTTCATATTCAAGCTTATCCCATTTTTTGCTCTTCTTCCATAC